AGGTGTGGCCTTGCTGAAGGAGGTGTGGCCTTGCTGAAGTAGGTGTGGCCTTGTTGGAGGAAATATGTTGCTGTGGGAATAGGCTTTGAGGTCTCTTGTGCTCAAGCTTCCCTCAGTGTGACTCTCAGTCCACTTCCCGCTGCCATCTGATCAGGATGTAGCCAGCACCACACCTGCCTGCCCGCCTCCATGCCTCCTGTCGTGATGACAATGGACTGAACCTCTGAAACTGTAAGTGAGGCACCCCAGTCAAATGTTTTCCTATATAAGACTTGCCGAGGTCATGGTGTCTCTTCACAGCAATAGGAAGCCTAACTGAGACAGTGGGATCCAGGAGGAGTTTTGGTGAGGAGGGTCCAGTGCTGATGGTGTGCCAGAAGCCAGAGGCCTTAAACCAGACCAACAACTCATTGCGATGAGCATTTTGCAAGTAAAGCTGTGTGGACAAAAGGGTCTACTGTGACACTCTGCAGCTCCCAACACCACCACGATGGATGAAGAGGTGTTGGAGAGGCAGAAAGGATGGAGGAGCAGAGCGGTTTTTTGTGTGTTTGTTTTGTATTTTTTGTTTTAAGTAATATTTTTAAAATTTTCTTTTGGGAGGATAGTACAGGGCTGGAAGGTGGATATGGAGGGACTGGGAAATGAGCTGGATTGGAGTGCATGATGGGAAATTCCCAAAAACTCAACAAAAAATTATGTTAAGAAATTTATATAATGGGCCGGGCGGCGGTGGTGGCACACGCCTTTAATCTCAGCACTCAGGAGGCAGAGTCAGGTGGATCTCTGTGAGTTCGAGGCTAGCCTGGTCTACAGAGTGAGATCCAGGACAGGCTCCAAAACTACACAGAGAAATCCTGTCTCAAAAAAACAAAAACAAACAAACAAACAAAAAACAACCCACAAACAACAAAGGGAAATAAACACCCCAAGTCCACAGATGGAGAGACCCAAAGGGCAGAATCAAAGACATGCTTTACCCATTCTGGGCAAGAGCACACACTCTTCATCCCAGGGACATTTATATAGAATCACACAAAAGAGACTTACTATCAGAACCAGTTACATAACAGCCACGGTCATTGATTATTGGTTGTTCCACAGATATTCAGCGGCTGCCATCTTAACTGAGTCACTCTGGACACACCACGCTGTCTGAACCTTGATCTGGCCCTTAGCCTTCTAGTCCCTGCATCCTACGCCCTTTAGACAGCAGTCACTTTATTCAAATGGGCCCACAGGATAGTCCTTGTGGGCAGCCGTAGTCTGCAGCAAAAGGAAGAAGACAACATGTGACCAGCAAACAGGCATTATCTCCTAAGGTCAGCGTGGTCCACATTAGGGTGCTACCATTATACCTGGTCCTGCCATTGTACTAAGATCTCCAGTCAGCCGCTGGATTGTCTGTACCTCCATGCCTACTTCCTGTGAGGCAGCTATTCCCTTTCTTTGATTATCACTGAGAATATCTTGTCACACCCAGCCTCACAAAGGGATTCGGGACCCTGCTTTTTGGTTATTGGATTCAAAACAAACCAGACTTTGGACAGCGAAGGCAAAAGGAAGCCAGATGCACTCCAAGGTAGTACTGTTTAGTTCCCACCCCCACCACAGGGGATGACTCACCAAGGAAAGCCAGGTAGAGCTTTAGGAGGACCGTCTCCCTGAGGAAGCTATAGACCGGAGCTGAATTTACCTCATCCTGGGGCTTTATTCATACACACACAACACCCCAAAAAGGAAATTTGACCTGATCATTTTATTTGAGAAATGTTTTTGAGCACTTCCTGACTTTTTACACTCCTGGGGGAGAACAGAATAACAGATAACCAAACACTGGGAGTCAGGACTGGTTACCGGAAATGCAGCGATGGCAATTAGCAGGTGCCTCCATCAGGGATCATCAGGATTGTTGTCTCTGAATAAGTCATCAAGGAAGAGCCTCCGAGATAATGCTGTTTACTCTGACTCCTGAAGGGAGGAGGGAGGAGCTAAGAAAGATGCCCCAGAGAAAGCTTTGCAGATCCTGAGAAGAAGAGGTCAGTGCCTTCCCAGGACACAAAGCAGTCATTAAGAGTGTGGTCACTGTGGGCGAAGGTCACACTGGTGACTGAAGGGCAGGGTGAGGAGGCTCGCTCTTACCTACATGAGTCTGTGGCTTCCCTTCATCTTCAGAAGGAGCAGCCACCCTCCAGCCCCTCCCAGGCCTCCGGAGGTCACCACAGTCAGATCTGCAACTTTGCTCTCCGCCCTTCCTGTGATCTTGGTGGACTTCACAAGTCTCCCGAGACCCGGGCTTCTATCGTGTTTCTGACCCCTGCAACAGGAACACAGGGTGAAATGAGAGCACATCTCTTCCTTCCTCTCACGGAGCTTTGGGTATTTTTAAAATCTTAATAAGCTAATAACATCTCCCGGTTGCTAGCCATCTAGTGTTTATGTAAGAACTTTTTTTTATTTTTTATTTTTTCTTATCTGTATCCTTCTGGAAATGTTTACGACATCCTCAGAGGAGGCAGGCCAGTGAAATGCAGTTGGAACCGGCCTATGCTTCAGGGAACAGGGTCCATCTGGAGGTTGTCTATCTCTTCCCTACCACATTGGTGGTGGGGATGGGGTGTGGGAGCGGAGCGGACCTAGAAACAGCATCAACCTGAGTCTATTTCCAATCTCAAGGGCTTCAGGCTATATAACTCCTGGCCCAGCTAAGCAGAATTCCATATATATATATATATATATATATCCCTCAGTGGAGAGCATGTGAGGTAGGGTTAGGAACAAAGGACAGAACAGACCCTGCTACCTGTTATGGGTTCAGAGCTACCCTGATGTCCTCCCAAGGGCCTGACAGTACCTTCAGTGCCCATTCCCATCTGCAGCTAACTGGACAGGGTCCTGAGAGTGGAGATAAAGGTGGAGCTAGGCTCTGAATCCCCACGGCTCAGCGCTCCTGCACATCCTCATGGATCGCCCCACAATGCACTAGGCTAGCCCGCCTTTATTCCTGGGCTTTCTCTGTGACTATGAGAAGATGCTCCTGGAAGCAGGTTATTCCTTCCAAGTCCTCCCTGGAGACCTCAGCAAGAAACCTCAGGGGGGAGCCACGATCCAAATTGTTCCTGGAGTTTATCCAGAGAAAGACACCTGCTTCCTCTCCTTTCCCTGCCAGGAACAAACCTGGAGATGGTGTGTCCTCCAGAGTGTGTCTGTGTGGATGTGCGTGAGTAGAGACGCATTCTTCCAGTCCCCACAAGTTTTCAAGGGCTGTGCAAACAAACAAACAAACAAAATACAGGCTCCTTGACTAAAGAAATGTGGGCAGAGCCATTCCTCACCTCTTCTAGTACCCCAGGACATCAATGCATCACATTCAACTTTCCACAGAGAACCCACAGGGCAGGATCAGAGTACACAAGCCCAGACTCGGGCCCTGTCTGATCCCATGCACACACAGGAGCCCAGGCCTCTGCAGAAAGGCCTGAGTCACTGCAGAAGTGAAGTCCTGGGGTCAGGCATTGGAGATGTGAGAATCTGGGCAGTGGCCCCTTGAAAGTCCTTCACCAAGCTCCTCACTGGCCCAGCAGGCATGCACCAGGGACCCACCTCCACTCCCAGGCTCAGCCTCGCCCAGAAATGTGGTTCTGTCTGCCCCGCAAGACTGCCAGAGCTGTCTGCTGAGCTAGGTTGCAGCAGTTTGGAGCAAAGCTCCACTAATAAATCTCACAATGAAGCCTTTGACTGCTTCTGCCTTGAACCAAAACACAGCTTTCCCCGGCTCACTCTTTCTTGCTGACTAGGTGTGCAGGTGGCCAACTGTCAACACTACTACCCTGGCAGTTCAGCTTGACCACCTGGGCTAGCCTAATCTCTTCCTCTTCTCATCTCCCTGACCTTCTCATCCTCCCCTCCTTGAGAATTCCTGTTGCTCTTTGGAGTCAACTGTATTTAAGGCCCGTGGGTGTTCAAAGAACACTCATAAGGTTTTGGAAGTTCCCAGTCCTCCACTTTCCTTGAACTTGGACATGCTGAGAGGGAGAAAGAAAGGAAGGAAGGAAGGAAGGAAGGAAGGAAGGAAGGAAGGAAGGAAGGAGGGAGGGAAGGAGGGAGAGAGGGAGGGAGGGAAGAGAGAGAAAGAGAGAAAAAGAAAGAAAGAGAAAGAAAGAGAGAGAGAGAAAGGAAGGAAGGAAGGAAGGAAGGAAGGAAGGAAGGAAAGAAGGAAGGAAGGAAGGAAGGAAGGAAGGAAGGAAGGAAGGAAGGAAGGAAGGAAGGAAGGAAGGAAGGAAGGAAAAGAAAACGCTGTTTTGGGGATCTTGAGAGATCATGGTTCAGAACTCAGTTTTGCCTCCAATTCTGTGACCTTGGGAAGCCATGACTCAGGCTGAGTGAATTTTGATCTCTGGCTTCCAGGAGTGTTCGGGTGCCTGTGCTGTACAAATAGTAAGCCCAAAGCCCTACAGCTACTGTCTATAACCTCTGAGAGTCCGGGCAGAGAAACCATGTCCACAAGTGCCAGTGAGGATGTAGGCACTATTGGTATCTATTTAACTATGGTATTCTAAATTAAACAAAATATTCAAATGAAAATTCTGTTGAAACAGTTGAAGTGTTGCCAGAATTAGCCAATAAAACAGTTCCATGGCCCAGACCTGCTTCCTACCAGGGACCTAGTCGCCACACGTAGATAAATGTAGATCTCACCCCTCATCAAACCAACTTCTTTGTGAAGCAGGGGGAAACAATTACAGAAAACCACAAGTAGTCAAAATGCAGAGAGCAACTGGCTGTGGGGTGCCCAAGCCTGACTGATCACCTACAGCTCAGTTCCTACACCTAAGGCTCAGGAGAGATCAAGGAAGAGGGGCTGGAAAGACTCTAAGAGCCAGAGGACCAGGAAGTCTGCTGTGAAAGTTTCCTTCTAGCTATGACAGGGAAGCTATACCCATGAAATCTCAACAACATGGCTGCCTAAACAAGACCTTAACAAGTCCAACATTAGTTGACGTTCCTGAATAGGTGGAGTAGAGCTGATAGGACCCATCCTAGATGAAGAACTATAAGCAATTAACAACTGTTGAGAGAATTAATCTTCCTGGGATAAGCCCCCGGTTGGTTATTCAATACCAAGTGGTCACCCCCAGAAGCATATACATGCAGGAACACGAAATGGACCCAGAGGGTTGTATTTGTATTTATTCACTTATGTGTATTGGTATCAACAATGGGTAAAGAAGAGGAGACCATGAACTTTGGAGGGAGTTTGAGGAGGGGACTTGGGAGGGGTAGAAAGAAGGAAATTGGGGGAGGGGCATTTAATAGTGTAATTATTTTTAATTAATATTTTTTAAACATTTATTTATTTATAGTATATACAGCATATATGCCTGCAGGCCAGCAGAGGGCACCAGATCTCATTACAGATGGTTGTGAGCCACCATGTGGTTGCTGGGAATTGAACTCAGGACCTCTGGAAGAGCAGTCAGTGCTCTTAACCTCTGAGCCACCTCTCCAGCCCTAATTAATATTTTTTAAATGGCCCATGCAGCCACTCAGGAAAATAGTACAGCAGTTCCTCAAGGTGGTAAACAGAGTCATCACATGAGTTGATAGTTGTACTGCTTGGTCTATATACCCAAAATAATTGAAAGTCCAGATTCATGTGGCAGCTGTGTTCAGAACAATATCATTCTCTACCGTCAAAGAGAGGGAACACACAAATGCCCATAAACAGATAAAAAGGATAAACAAAAATGTCTATTATATACAAAAGAACATTATTCAGCTTTCAAAAGAATGACATTCTGACACGTGTTACATGAATGGATTTTGAAAACATTGTGCTAAGTAAAATAAGCCAAATAGGACAAATGTCTGTGGATCCACTTATATAACGTATGTAGAACAGACAAATTCATACAGACAGAAAGTAGGTTAGGGAGTTCCAGAGGCAAGAAGGAGAGAAGAATTGGCAGTTACTGTTAAAGGTATAGAGTTTGCCATGAGAAAGTTCTGGGAATGCGTAGTGGTTATACAACACTGTGAGGGTACTTAGTACAACTGAACTGTTTACTTCAAAATGGTTAAAACAATGTAAAAATATTGCATTATGTAAATTTATCACGTTTGAGGTTTTTTATTATTATTGTGTGTGCATATAGTGCATGAGCGTGTGTGTGTGTGTGTGTGTGCGTGTGTGTGCGCGTGTGCGTGTGCGTGCGTGCGTGCGTGCGTGCGTGCGTGTGTGTGTGTGTGTGCGTACACTCTTGCCTGTGTGGTACAATGCAGGTTAGAAATTAGAAGACAACTTTCATGGGTTCCAGAGATGAACTCAGGTGGTCAGGCTTGCATAGCAAACACTTTTTCACTCCGTGAGCTGTCGGGCCAGCCCATCACATTTTTTTCTAAGCATCTTATATATACATACATACATATGTGTGTGTATGTATATATATATATGTATATATATATGTGTGTATATATATCACTTAGGATGTATTTCAATTAATCTTATTTGGGGATTTATTTCAATTAATCTTATTTATTGTTTATGGGAAATCCGTATGTAACTGGGTAGTCTTCATTTTATCTGGTAATACTGGTCAAGGTGTTTCTGTTCTATTAAGGATTTTGCTAGAATTCAAGAGCCCATAGTATTCAAACAAACAAACAAACAAAATAGTGTTTGTGGTCTGATTACACTGAGTGCATAAAACCAGAGCAGAAAATGGGGGCGGGAAGCAGTGTCTGCCCTAATTATAGACAGCCACCCGAGAGGCCACCCAGCAACTCCCTCAGCCCTGCTCACTCCCCCAGTGAAGAGGTAGAGAGTGGAAATCTTGGTTGTTTTCCCATCTGTTGTTTAGACATCACGATCCCTCAGTGCAATCAAGGCTGGTTATAAACCCCTTCTTACAACTGACCGCGTGGTTAGAATTGCAGTTGCAGATGGCGACACTCACCCACGGGACTCAGACGATAGCCTTGTGCCCTGCCATCACCCCAGAGTCGGCAGGAACCCATGGGGTGTCCAGATGTCAAATGGTGCCACCGCTCGCACCCATGCCTTCAAGAAGAAAGAAGCTGCCTGCACAGCTCACTGTACCACAGCCAACAAGAGGTGCAGAAGGCGGAGGCCACGGTGGAGCCATTTGGACCCAAAGCTGGGGCTTAACATAGCAAGAATGCTTCAGGCTTGGCACGCCTACACTAATCTGCCTGGGAGACCGACCTGGAGTCACATCACAGGCCCCGTGGCCATTCCAGGGGCTCCCACCTACTCTTTCTCTCAACCAAGACGAAAGGCAGCTGGAGAGGGCATGTCTCAAAGAGATGGGTCATATCCTTTTCATTTTTTCCTAGGTGCCGACAAGTCACTGTGGAAGTCTGGAAGTGTGTAGCACAGCAAAAAATACACAGGTCATAACGCACACTGGTGAATGATTACCAGAGGAGAAATTCATTACGTGGGAGCGCTGGGCTCCCATCATGTAAGGACGTGTGACATTAACAAGATGGAAGGTCCCTGAAGTTCCCTCCCCACTACAGACCCCACTGCCACTGCTTGTCACCCCACTATTTGTGGGGATCTGAGCCCAAAGGCAAGAAAAGTCAATTCAGCTATACTAATCAAAAGGGGGTCACTGGTAGCCAACACCAATCGAAGCCAATATAACATATAACTAGACGGGATTCTTTCTGCTGACTGGTACCAGCTATGACCACTAAAGTCAGCCACTCATGCGTAGGTCCAGGCACAGAGTGACTTTTTTTTTTTTTAACTGTTTGTATCACTTGCTTCCCCTGCTGATGGATCTAGACAACAGGATATCATTCTTGTGGGTACGCAGGGCCGGGGGGGGGGGGTCCTTCTCCCTACACGGATGTAGATCCCGGCAGGCACAGCATGGAAACTGAGCTGAGGAATGGGGAATGTCAAAGATGAGGAAGACACACGAGGCTTGGCTCTGCTCTGGACCAAGTTTGGGGGTGATGGAGAGAGAGTCTTCATTTTGGGAGTCGCTGGGGGGATCAAGGGGTGCCACATAGGCAGTTTTAGTCTCTCTTTGGAGTGTCTCTTCCCCCACTCTCCACCCTGCACAGTAAGGGGTCACAGATAGGCTAGCCAAGAGGTCCCATTTCATTGTTCCTGTTCCTGGGGCAACAGTTCTTCCTAAATCATCTTCTTATCCCTTCAGGCTGCCTTTCACACACAAGTGGGGCCAACCGGAGCAACCTGCTGGGTGCGGGTGCACAGTCAGGCCCAGGAC